TGTCCTAAGTTTGCATAGGGCCAAATAAGGAGCTGTAGACAATGCCACCCTACTGACTGTGGTAATCTGAGAGGGCTTCAGTGTGCTTAAAGGAAATAGGAGTTTCAGATTCTCCTGCTCATCAGCACTTACACATGTGCACACTCCAACAAGCAGAAACTCAGCATCTCAGGTAAATGATATTAGGAAGATTATATCCAGAGTACAAGTTTCTCATATTCTTTCTACTGTCTTCGCTCACCTTTCTTGATAGGTTCAAGTGTGACTCATTTTTATAAAAGGTAATATACAATACATAATAAAACTAAATATAAGTTCCTCAGACTATTCTTTTTCTACAAAGTAAAAGACAGTGTTCCTAATTTCCCCCCTTCCATTCCTCTGCAAGTTTGTAAAAATAATTGTTTGTAATAGAATCTAGGTATAAGAGAGCTTAGATATAAGAGAGAGCTTGGATATAATCTATGTATTTTACAGATTGGGAGACAGAGATGTAGAGTTAACTAATTTTCCCAGAATCAACAAGTTAAAGGCAGAAATGTCTAAAACTCAAAATTCCCAACTCTCAATCCATTGATGAAGAGTGCTACTTTTTTTTTTAATAACCTTTACATTTTGCTTCTATTACAACATTCCTAACTAAAGTTTCCAAAAATTTTTCATTCACGGTTATGGTTGATCAATATTCAAGGTTGCTACTCATAAACAGCTGTGAGAAAGATACTATCTGCCTATCCATGGACCAGATTTACTGTAAATTAATGTTAAGGAAACAAACTAAGAAATTTATTTTTAAAATTTGAAGAACAATAACAATCATTACTATCAAATTTTGAGATGTGGTAAATGGGGAATTATTTTATAGCATAGAATTATGATAGCTTACACTCCTAAGATGATTTCTTCCTATATCTCTTCCTGAAGCTCTTCATCAGCAAGACAGCAGCAGCAGTTACAGGAGTCTTTTTTCTCTCTTAATTTCTGGGCTTCTGGCTCTTGTATTTTACCTCCTGACCCTACACTAATTTCATAAATAAGCAAGTAATCCTCCCTTTAAAACATGTGAAGATGAAGACTGCAAACTATAGAATTTAATATCTCCTCTTTTTCTTGGTCACATTCACTTGGCAGTTGAGGAAATTAAGGTTACAAGACATTAAATAACTCTACAGATAGAGACACCAAGATGCTAAACCTTGAGATGGAAAGAAACTGGGAATGTAGAGAACAAATTAAGGCATAGGTCTCACTTTGCATGGAGCCTACCCATAAATGGAGCCATTCTGGTTTTAGGGTTGAAAGAGGTGTTGGGAAAAATGGATCTGGAGTCATGGCCACAGCCCAACCAGGTGCTCAGTTACTTGTTGTCTAGAGTTGAGTATAGTTTTCAGTCTCTTACATGTGACCACTATTCCCTTATTGTCCAGCTACCATTACTATGGAATGTCAAATTTTAAATGTGTATGTTTAACATACCTTCTGTTGTGACTGGTAAGGAAATCTCCATGCAAGCAGCTGACTGTGCTTTTCGAAATGGCGGTCTTCCTGGACCCCAGCGATTTACTTTTGAAACGTCAGCACTAGAAAGACGTTTTCCAGAACTGCAACTCTGAGAAGTTGGACTTGTGCAATGTCCATTTACATGATCTGTACAGAGAAGAAGGCAGCATAAATATCATAATTAAATCTTAATATAAATGAATCCAAGTGAGTAGATTATAAATGAAAAGTGAGAATTCCTTTTTATCAAACTATAAAAAGATGGCTCACTATTTCAGTATTTAGTCAAAATTGCAGTAGCTAGCCAAATTTTTCATAGTTATTAAATATAAGTTCATCATTTAATTTGACTAGTTAACATAGTTCAAAATTTGTTCTATGTCCCCATTATGTATTCTACCATTTAATGGCAATACAAAATAGGTTATAGTAGTGGACTTTATTTGGCATAATTTAAATATACACCTATTTTCAAGTGCTTAGAGTTTAAAACACAGAAAGGAAGCATTTTACCATGAAGTTGAGAATGGCATTTAAGAATATTGACTCTACAGCCAGACTCAAATCCCAGTTCTACTACTTACTAGTTGTACAAATTATTAAAGACGTTCACATTTTAGTTTCCTCTTCTGTAAACTGGGACTATTATCTACCTCATGGAGTTTTTGTGATAACATATGTCACATGCCAGAATACTTACTGATAAATGGTAAACTCTGAACAAAAATGAATAATTGCCATTCTTGTTCCAGAGTATTAAAACTGCTCATGTGATAAGGCAATAGTATTTATTTATTTAGAACTTGTGAGTTTAGTTCTGTTTTGATACAATTTAAAAACTTGGAAATAACTGCACTAAAATGTTCTTAATGCTACATATTTGAAATATCATCTCATAGTTCTACAATATTTAGAATGCATTTTTAAATGTGCTTCTTTAGTCATCCAAAGGATAGCAGAGTTAAATGAAGAAGAATCATGTTTAATGTCCATGTTGGACATAGAGAACTGGCACTCAGTATCCACTCTGGTACAGCCTTTCTGTAATGAAGAGTTTGAAAAAAATTACACATTCCCTGGATTCCCTTGTACCTAGTGCAAGGATGAGAATTAAGTTTCACCATTTAAATGCACTAGTGTGTTTTACTATTTTTTAAAAATGACAGTTAACAATTATTGAATACTTAAATGCCAGGCATTTTATACACATTACTCATTTAATCTTCACAACAACTATGCAAGGTAGTGCTGTATTATCCTGATTTTGCAGATGAGGAAATTGGTCAGAAAAAAGTTCAGAAAATTATCTAACATTACATAAGTAGTACTCATGGAGGCAGGATTCTAATCCAAATTTTCAAAGTGTCTGTATGCTTAAAAACTGGGCCACAAGGTCAGCTAAAATATTTGATAAGGAGTAGCAATTTTGAAGACATTTAATAGAGTTTAGGAGTAGCTTGTGTGAAGCACATTGAGATCCAAGCCTTTGGGGACCAGTCATCTTCCATATTAACACAGATCTCAGAAATCTTAGATTTCCCAGATAGAAAGGCAGAAACAATCACATGATGTTAGCCATGGGGAAGCAGAAGTTAAGAGCTCTACCCCTGCTTCCCTATCAAATCTAGTCTTATAAATAGGAAGAACATTGAGGGCAACAGCTGGCACTAACAAGGACAGTGAAGTAAAAAATGACAATGACTTTGGGGGTATAAACTGCAAAAATAAGCCCCATTCTGGGTACAATAGTTAGGAAAAGTTACCCCTTCAACAGGTGTGATGCCTTGTTCTAGGGCTCTTCCAAAGCAATGTGGGGCAGATTGCAGCCCTCGTCACATCCTCTTAACGAGGTACAAGAGTATATGGCAGTGCTCTGAGAAGAGTCAATTTGTTCAGTTAGGACTCTTTGGATTTCCTAAGCCAATGTCCCTGCCTATCTATTACCACCTTTTGGTGGCTTTTCATGTGAATATTGTTTCATTTGAGCTCATAATATGGGCAGTATCAATTACTAGAATACTCAACATGCTGTTCTTTCCCTCCCTGCCCTGCTGTATGGACAAATTTTCCCCAGCTTCTCATGTTTGACTCATGAGGTCTGGCTGACATTACCACACATGGGCAGCCCAGATTTTTTTGCCATATCCTTCTGTTTTCAAGAGGACTGATTTATTTAAAGGATTTCTATTAAACATTTTTTTTTAAGTATCTGGAAGTGAGTTTGCTTGAAAATTTTTTCACCACAGTAAATATTCAAGATAGATATGAACTGATACAAAATATAAAGAAATTTGGTTATAGCCCAGCCACAGTCATTCTGGATATTTATGATAAAGAAATAATAATTTCTAAATACAAAAGAAACATAAAAATCTCTATCAACAAAAGTATTCACTGTGTTTTAGTTATTATAGATAAAAATTGGAAACAAGCCACCCTTTACAATTAAGCATAAAGTTTTAGGTAAAGAGTGGTAAATATCACATAATACAGTATTAAAATCTTTAAAAATGTTTCTGAAATGCTTGTTGAAACTTATAAAATATCTATATTATGTGTTTTGGTTCACTCTTGTTGCATAAAAACCGCTCCAAATGTTAATAATGTAAAATAACTACCATTTTATTATACTTACAGATTCTGTGGGCAAGGACTTAGACTAAGGCAAGGTGGGGATATTACATCCATAAGGTCTGGGGTATCAGCTGGGAATGCTTGAATACCTAGGGCTTGGAATCCTTTGCAGGCTTCTTTACTCACGTGTCTGGGCTAGAATGATGCAAAGTTTGAGCTCATTTGGGAAAGTCAATGACTTCTTTAGGAGTCTTGGGCTTCCTCACAGCATGGTGGCCTTTTTAACATAGTGGCTTAGGGCTTCAAAAAGTCTGGCAAGTGATTTTGAAAATGAATGGAAGCAGTATTTCTGCTGCTTTGGTGTTATTCCAATGGAGATTTTACTTTCATTCCAGTGTCCAGTCACAAGTTTTTTGTATGTCAAGAGGCAGCTGTAGTATGTGTGTGTATGTGTGTGTATATATTATATTGTATTATAACAATATGCTCTTCAGTTCAATAATTGATTGACAGTAGTCTTCTGATTTTGTTTCTAACAGTAGCAAAGGTGTCTTCTTCCACAGTGAATCTGTTTGATGACCATATTCTGAAAGTCATACCTGTAGTCTAAATTTAGAGTTTACGTCTCCAACCTTTCAATGACTTGATGTGCATCTAGTTTCTTGTATTAAATCACTTTCCACATAATAGAACTAGAATGGTTTCTGTTTCCTACAACTGCTCCCTGATTACAGTGATGTTTTAGCCCAGCTGTAGTGCTCTATGCCATTTAGAGAAAATTTAACATTCTAAAAAAGTTCAACCTTGTAATAAGCAGATTAAAGCAAATGGGAAATTGTTATTCTTTATTTTACAGACGATTCCCTCCCCCCCAAAATTACAAATTTCTTTAAATTAGCTGATTTCTCTTGTATCTTTAAGTCAAGATTTATTTTAGTGTATTGTATAGAGTAAGGTACAAGAGTGATTTACTGAAAAATGGCTTATTGCCTCCCATTGAAATTATTTTAACATAGTCCTTGCCTAAGCATTACAGAAGTATGTAAATGAAGATTTAATTTAATACTTGGTAAACTAGTCTTGTTAAGCTCTCTAATATGCCATACAATTCCTAGACAATGAATATTAGTATTATGCCTATGCCACAGAGGGTGATTCTATGGTGAAATAAATGTTGAACATAATACTAAATCAAAATAAGCATTGAATTTAAACTTCATGAAAATCAATAAATTTGCATTTAACTATATAAAATAGAGCCAAATCGAACAGTTGGTTAAAATGTTTGAAAACCTACAGTACTTTACCTTTGCTTGCTTTTATAGTTGAGGTAACTCCTCTTTCCCTCCCTCCCTTCTTAATCATTAGTTATATAACTCTGGTTTGAGAACTTGATTTGTTTATTGACTTAATGTTATTGTTTGCTTGATCAATTTGTTTAAGTAGGAAAATAATTTACTAAAGGATATTAGGCAGCTTACAATCTCAGGGAGAACCTGTGAGGTATACTCAAAACTTTGCAGCCAAAAACAGTGCACAACCACACTGGAGTGAAGTTCTGTTTCGGTTAGGACATGGCTGTCAGTGGCTCAGCATTGATGACACTGGGGACAACATGCTAGGAGCTGTGTGACTGGTGACCTGGTATAGCAGGGTATCTCTGCCATTATAGTCACTAAAACTGAGGTTTACATGAGTTTTGTCTTTATGTCAGTGTTTTTTTTTAACTGTCAAAAAAGTAATAACTTATATCATCTTTCTCTAATTTTTTGCTGACACTTCTGAGGTGTTTAAGCTCTTACATTTTTAGGACTTTTTTCTGAAGAATTTTAAGCTGAAGGCCCAAAGGGACTAAATCACAGTCCTCTCCTTGAAGTCAGCTTAATTTTTATTCCCAGTTTTAATTGGACTCTTCTGCAGTAAAGTTTTCATGGCTATGATTTCATTGTCAAAGCTAAAATGCTTTGAACAATTTCATGTTTATACTCAGCTGAATGTTTATTCTCTGAAATCCAAGGTTTCAAAGGGCTTCTTCCTGTTTACTAATTTCCCTTTTTTTTCAAGTTTAATTTCTATTGCATTTATTTAACTGAATGTTTAAAAACTTTTGGGGCTGAAATTTACAGTCTTTCAGAAAATGATCTTTTACTGAAACGCTGCCTTAGGCTTTGTCACTGATGAGCAGAATGTTTTAACTTGGGAGAGCAATTGACTTATTTTTAAAATTTTAGCCTTAGGTATAACTGACATATAAAATTATCAGATATTTAAAGTATACATTGATTTGATATACATATACACTAGGAAGAACTTATCACAATCTAGTTTAGTTAACACACTCATCTCCTCACATACCTCCTCACATATTTTTTTTTTTTGGTGCAGACACTTAAGTTCTACTCTATTAGCAAATTTCCATTATACATTACAGCCTTGCCATGATAATCATAATGTTTTACATTAGATCCTCAGAACTTATTCATCTTATAGTTGAAAGTTTGTACCCTTTTACACATCTTGCCCTATTTTTCCCTCTCATCAGCCCCTGGCAACCACTATTTTACTCTCTATGAGTTTGACTTTTTCTTTTTTTTAAGAGTCAACATGTAAGTGATACCATGCAGCATTTGTTTTTTACTGTCTGGCTTACTTCACTTCACATAATGCCCTCAAGGTCATCCATGTTGTTACCAATGGTACAGTTTCACCCTTTTCATGACTGAATAACATTCTGTGTGTGTGTGTGTGTGTGTGTGTGTGTGTGTGTGACATCTTTATCCATACATCTGTTGATGGACACTTAGGTTGTTTCCATATCTTGGCTATTGTGAATAATGATGAAATAAACATGGGAGTGCAGATATATCTTAATATCATATATACCCAGAAGTGGAATTGCTGGGTCATGTGGTAGTTCTATTTTTCATTTTTTGAGGAAACTCTGTATTGTTTTTCAAAGTCACTGGACTAATTTGTGCACCAGTAATGCACAAGAGTTTTTCCCTCCACATCCTCATAAATACTGGTTATCTCATCTTCTTGATAATAACTATTCCAACATGTGTGAGGTGATACCTCATTGTGGTTTTGATTTGCATTTCCCTAAAGGTAAGTAATGTTGAGCACTTTTTCATGAACTTCTTGGCCATTTCCATCTTGACTTAGGAAAAGTGTTCAGTTCCTCTGCCCATTTTAAAATCAGATTTTTTGAGTTTTGCTATTGAGTTTTATGACCTCTTTATATAGTTTGGATATTAATCCCTTATCAGATAGATGATTTGCAGATATTTTCTCCCGTTCTGTAGGTTGCCTTTTGCTGATGGTTTCATTTGTTGTGCAGAAGCTTTTTAGCTTGATGGAGTCTGTTTTTGCTTTTGTTGTGAAATCCAAAAAAATATTGCTAAGACTGATGTCAAAGAGCATATTGCCTATGTTTTCTTCTGCTTTATGGTTTCAGGTCTTACATTCAAGTCTTTAATCCATTTGAGTCATTTCTCTTTATGATGTAAAATAGTGGTTAAGTTTCATTCTTTTTTTTTTTTTTTTAATTATGGTACTGGAGATTGAACCCAGGACCTTGTGCATGCTAAGCATACACTCTACCACTGAATGTTTCACTCCCTACAAGTTTCATTCGTTTGCATGTTGCTGTCAAGTTTTCCCAGAACTATTTATCAGAGAAGATGCTTTCCCTATTGTATATTCTTAGCTTCTTTGTTGTAAGTTAATTGACCATACATGTATGAGTTTATTTCTGGGCTCTCTTCTGTTCCATTGATCTGTGTGTCTTTTTGTGCCAATATCATACTGTTTTGATTACTGTACCACTGCAGTATAGTCTTAAGTCAGGGAGTGTGATGGCTCTAGTTTTGTTCTTCTTTCTCAAGATTACTTTGACTATTTGGGGTCTTCTGTGGTTCCATTCAAATTTTAAGATTGCTCTATTTCTATAAAAAAAATACCACTGGAATTTTGATAGAGTATTGCATTAAATCTGTATATTGCTTTGGGTTGTATGAACATTTTTACAGTATTGGGGGTGGGGAGGGGTGTAGCTCAGTTGTCGAGCACGTGCTTCGCATGCATGAGGTCTTGGGTTCAATATCCAGTACCAACATCAAAGAAATACTAATTCTTCCAATTTATGAGCATGGAATATCTTTCCATTTATTTGTGACTTATTTAATTTCTTTCATTAACGTCATAATTTTCAATGTACAGCTATTTCAACTCTGGTTAAAATCTATTCTTAGGAATTTTATTCTTATTGTGATTGTAAATGGGATTGTTTTCTTAATTTCTCTGATAGTTTGTTGTTGATGCATAGAAATGCAGTTGATTAGTATATTGATTTTCTATCTTGGAGCTTTGCTGCATTTGTTGATGAGTTCTACCAGTTTTTGGTGGAGTTATTTAGGATCTTCTATAAATATTACGTCATCTGAAAGTAAAATTTTATTTCTTCCATTCTGACTCAGATGCCCTTAATTTATTTTTGCCTTATTGCTCTGGCTAGAACTTCCAGTACTCTGTTGAATGAAAGTGGTGAGAATGGGCATACTTGTCTTGTTCCTGAACTTAGAGGAAAAGCTTTCAGTTTTTCATGGCTGAGTATGTTGTGGCCTTGTCATATATGGTCTTTATTATGTTGAGGCACATTCCCTCCATGCCCACTTTGTTGTGAATTTTTATTAAAAATAGATACTGAATTTTATCAAATGCTTTTCCTGCATCTATTGAGAAGATCATATCATTTTATTCTTCCTTTTTGTTACTATATATTGCATTAATTACAGATGCTGACCCATCCTTTCATCTGTGGAATAAATCCTACTTGATCATAAGATCTTCTTGAAGTATTGTTGACTTTTGATAATATTTGACGACTTTGTATGTATGCTCATCAGAGATATTGGCCTGCTATTTTCATCACTTATAGTGTCCTTTTCTGTCTTTGGTATCCAGGTAATCTTGGCCTTGTAAAATGAGTTTGAAGTGTTCCATCTCTATTTTTTTGGAAGAAGTTGAGAAGTGTTGTTAATAATTCTTCTTTAAATGTTTGTTAGAATTCACCAGTGAAGCCATCTGGTTCTGGACTTTTGTTAGGTTTTGATTACTAATTTAATCTCTTTATTAGTAATTGGTCTATTCAGATTTTCTATTCATGATTTGGTCCTGAAAGGTTGTATTTTTAAAGAATGTATCCATTTCTTCTAGGTTCTCCAATTTATTGGCATGCAGTTGTTCATAGTAGGATCTTACAATCTCTTTTATTTTTGTGGTATCATTTGTAATGTCTCCTCTTTCTGATTTTATTTATTTTAGGCTTATATCTTCTTCGGTGAAACTGGCTAAGGTTTGTATATTTTATCTTTTCAAAAAACCAGCTCTTTCATTGATCTTTCCTACCATTGTTTTAGTCTCTATTTTATTTATTTCTGCTCTGATCTTTATTTCCTTCTACTAATTTTGGCTTCATTTGCCCTTTTTCTAGTTCTTGAGGTATAAAGTTGTATTGTTTGAAATTTTCTTGTTTCTTAATGTAGGTATTTATCACTATGAACTTCCCTCTTAGAAATGATTTTGCTGCATACCATAAGTTTTGGTGTGTTGTATTTCCATTTTCACTTGTGTCAAGATTTTTTAATTTTTTCATTTCATTTCTTCTTTGACACACTGGTTGTTCAGAAGCATGTTGTTTAATCTCTGTATACTTATGAATTTTCCAGTTTTCTTCTTGTAATTGATTTCTAATTTCCTAACACTGTGGTCAGAAAAAGGACTTGATATGATTTCAATCTTCTTACATTTATTAAGACTCCTTTTGTGGCCTAAGATACGATTTATTCTGGTGAATGTTCCCAATGTGCTTGAAAAGACTATGTATTCTGTTTCTTTTGGATGGAATGTTTTGTAAATGTCAGTTATGTTCATCTGGTCTAATGTGTCATTTAAATCCCATGTTGCTTTATTGATTTTTTTTTTGTCTGATGAACTGTCCATTGATGAAAGTGGGATATTTTCCCACTATTTGTATTGTTTATTTCTCTCTTTATGTCTACTAATATTTGCTTTATATATTTAAGTGCTCCTAAGTTGGGTGCCTAGATATTTAGAAATATTATATCCTCTTGTTGAATTGACTCCTTTACCATTATTTAATGACCTTCTCTGTTTCTTGTGATAATCCTTGATTTAAAGTCTTTTTTATTTATTACGAGTATAGCCACCTTGCTTTCTTTTGTTTACCATTTGCATGAAATGAAATATCTTTTTCCACCCCTTTAGTCTCTATCTTATGTGTATTTAAAATGAAAGTGAGTCTCTTGTAGGCAGCATATACCTGTATCTTGTTTTTTTTTTAATCCATTCAGCCACTTTTTGTCTTTTGATTGAATAGTTTAGTCCATTTATTTTTAGACTTACTATTGATAGGTATGTACTTATTGCCACTTTGTTAATTGTTTTCTGGCTGTTTTACAATTGCTTTGTTCCTTTCTTCTTTTGTTCTCTTCCATTGTGATTGGATGCTTTTCTGTAGTGGTGTGCTTAGATTCCTTTCTCTTTAGTGTTATCTAGTATAGGTTTTTGTTTTGTGGCTACCATGAGGCTTATATAAAACATTAGTTATTTATTTCAGTTGCTTCAAACTTGATGTATTTCTTTGACATAGAACACTGTACCTCTGTATCCATGGTTTCCTCAGCCATGGATTCAACCAACCATAGAACCCTCAGATACAGAGGGCTGACTGTACTATGCCATTTTATATAAAGGATTTGGGCATCTGCAGATTTTGGTATCTGCAGGGAGTCCTAGAACTAATCCCCGTTGGATACCAAGGGATGACTATATTAGTTTTAGGTATACAAACATATTTATAACAGTCTATTTTAAGTCCATAACAACTTAAGTTCAAATGCATTCTAAAACTGTACATTTTTACCCTCCCTCCCACATTTGTGTGTTTTGATGCCACAATTTACATCTTTTTATCTTGTGTATCCACTAGTAAATTATTTTAGCTATAGTTATTTTTACTATTTTTGTCTTTTAGCCTTCATACTAGCTTTATAAGTGATCGACCTACCTCCATTACAGCATTAAATTATTCTTAATGTTACTATATATTTACCTTTACCAGTGGGGTTTATACTTTTATATGTTTTCCTGTTACTAATTAACACTCTTTTGCTTCAAATTAAAGAAATACCTTTAATAATATTTGCAGGCTGGTCTAGTGGTGAAGAACTCTTTCTGCTTTCACTTGTCTAGAAGATTCTTTACCTCTACTTCAGTTCTGAAGGACAACTTTGCCAGGTAGAGGTTTCTTGGTTGGCATTTTTTTTTTCTGTCAGCACTTTGAATTTATCATGCGACTCCATTATGGTCTACACATTATGGTCTTATGGGAAATTCCATTGTATGTAACATGCTATCTTGCTCTTGTTGCTTTTAACATTCTTTCCTTGTCTTTAATTTTTGACAATTATGTATCTTGGTATAGATCTCTTCAGATTTATCTTATTTTGAACTTTCTGGGCTTCCTGGATCCGAATGTGTTTCCTTCCCCAGATTAGGGACGTTTTCAGCCATTATTTCTTCAAATAAGTTTCTTTCTTTTCTTTCTCTTTTCTCCATCTGGGATCCCTATAATATGAATCCTGGCCCACTTAATGTTGTCCTGTAAGTCCCTTAAGTAATCTTCTTTTTTCATTCTTTTCTTCTCTGATTGTATGAAATCCACTGTCCTGTCTTAGAGTTCCATTGATCCTTTTTCTGCTTCATCTAGTCTATTGTTGAAGCCTTCTATTAAATTTTACTGTGCAGTAATTGTATTCTTCAGGTCTGTGATTTCTGTTTGGTAGGTACTTGGATGTATTTTCTATCTCTTTGTTTAAATTCTCACTTCATTCAATGCATTGCACTTCTGAACTTGGTAAGCATCCTTATTACCATTACCATAGGTAAGTCATTTATCTTTGTTTCATTAAGGCCTATTTCTGGAGTTTCATCTTTTTCTCTTGTTTGGATTATATTCCTGCTTCTTCCTTTTCTTTGACTCTTAGTGTTGGTTTTACAATATTCAAAACAGCCACCTCTTCTAGGCTTGATGGAGTGGCCTTCTATAGGAGGTGAACATTATCATTCAGCCTGGCAGGAGCTCTTGGTGGTCTCTCAATCCTTTGGGATTGTCCAAGCTCATTTTTGTTCTTAGTGGCTCCCAGTATTTGAGGGTATGCCAAGACCCATTTACCTGTGGGTATTTTCTCCTTCATCGAATCTTGAGAAGTCAGTCAGCTAGTTTTGGACTTCTTTCAGAGGAAATTGCTCCATGTGTAGCTGTAGATTTGGTGTATCACTTTAGAAGTCTCCTATGTTGTCATCTTGGGCCATAACTTGAAATAACAATAAATTGTAACATTAAAATGCCAGTATATCTTGATTGATGCTGAAGAAGCAAACTGACATCTTGAGCCATATGAGTAATTGTTCACATCCAGTCCCACAATGAGTGGGAAGAAAGAGGTAAAAAAAAAAAAAACCAAAAAACAAAAACCCACGATGTATGCTGAGGTAACCAAATAAGAAAGAAGTTTGTCTAAATATAGTCTCCAAAAAGATTAAATCTTGAGTTTCTAAATTACTCATTTCTTAAGAAAATCTTTTTATTCCTGACATTTGATACTGGTGTCTAAAAGATATATGCATGTGGGTAAAATCATCCTTCCCTCCCAGTATGAACAAATTTACCTAAACTTTGAAAAAGCTTATGAGTTTTTTGTTTTTAGGGCTATTCAACAATTA